TTAAAACTATTAAAAAATAGTTTACAATTATAATGAATATATGTTAGTTCAACGTTATTCATATGTAATAAAAATTCCAACACTAGTTACATTCAAGCAATAGGAGTACAGTTAAAGATGCATATACAACAAATTTTTAATACTTTCTGTCCAAATAAAGTAACATAGTTCTACTATGTACACGTCACATCACAATAAAGAACAGTCCAGTTATCAAATGAAATAAACTATCACCCCCACCCCAATCCAACAAAAAAAAACGTTTTCAAGAGAAACCAAATGACCTAAAAATTAATAAGAAAACAAGTGAGAAAACATCTTTACGATAATACAGTAAATATGTTGGTACATTGAGCAGAGTTATATTTTGCAATGTCACAAAAGTCTTAGCCGGTTGATTATCATCATTATTATAATTATTATATTAATAACATTTATCATCGTCATCGTCATCATCATCAAATATAACAATGTTAGATTTAAAACATTTGAGAGTTGAATATAGAATACAATGATAACAACGTTGATGACATTTTTGTATAGTTTGCAGTTAGTTTCCTGATTAAGAATTCTTTTATAAAACTATTCACGTATTTTTCATGCCTTTTTTGTCTTAATTGGATAACAATCGTGCCTTAAGTATGGCATATTTGGCATTTTTAACAAATGCTTAAAATCAAAGAAAAAATCACGCCTGCAGACAAAGGCATAGCAAGTACTAATTAGACAAAAAAAAACGCTGATATAAAACGAATGATGTTATAAACAAGATAAAATGCTATAATGTAAATATCGTCTGCTATGAAAATAGAAATGTCGTCTGCAGGTTGTCTTCTGCTCAGGAAAGAACATTCAACTCCTAACAAACTGTCTTTGTCTTGTTGGGGTAACAATAGTGAGTTCCATCGTCATAACAGCGACAGTAGTACTTCTTACAGTTAGCTTCGTAAGAAAATAGTGCCGTTGTGTATGTACGGTTTCCTATTGCACAACCTGTCATAAATAGATAAGAGTGTTGAATATCTTCAAATATAGATCATGATATATACAATTTAAGCAATGCTCTCGTAAATGATATAAAGTTGTAAGGCATGGGAAAAAAACACTCGAAAGGAATGTGATTATTTGGCGTAGAAATATGTATAATTCACATTGATTATCTGATCTAAATGTCTACAAGCATATGTCAAGATTAAGCATTTAAACGTTATTTGACCTCCGCGACGGGGGGGGGTGGTTAAAGTCGTCGACTTAAAATCGCTTGCCCCTCATCGCTGTTGATTCTTTCATTTGAGGAAGCGATCCAGCAAGCTTACGGAAGGGCCGTGGTTTACTTTGGTGCCAACTCGTGCATGAACTAATACACAGAGGGGAACCTGAGGTCTGCCTAAGTGTGTGTATGACTTAACATCAAATAATAAAAAAAAACCTCAACCCCTAAAGAACGATCAACTAAAGGTTTGAATTATTATTCAAAATTATATTTTTCCAAGCTTTTGAATCGTCTTAATAGCTAGAGGGTAAAAATAAAATAAATAATCTTTGATCTACAGCATAAGAAACCGTTTACTCCTAGGCCATTTAAATCCAATGACAATTTACCTTTTCCTTTGATATAAACGTCATTGAACATTTAAAGTTAAAATACAATTTGCTTTAAATTTAAGCTCATCCTATAAAAGTTAATTTACAAAAAAGTTTTAAACCCAATGACAAACAGTTTTAAAACGCTTTAGTTGCAAATTGCAGAATAATTGACATTAAAATACATGAACGTTACCTTTAGGTTGTGTATTTTTGGCCCTGGCCCTATCTAGCTTGCAGAAATCAATCTCTTTAGTCGGGTCGCAATAATGGGTACCATTGCAGTAACAGTCGCACAAGTGTTCTATACATCCTGAACGATATGTGAAGTCACGCCCTCCTTTCACTGCCTGAAAGACAAAAGAAAACAGTTTGGCATTTTTGAACAAAGGCATCTAAATATTATTTGTAAGGACAAAAGAAAACAGTTTGTTAATATAGGCATTAGATATCTGAATATTATTTGTCCTTAGGAATGTGAAGTCACGCCCATCTTTCACTGCCTGAAGGACAAAAGAAAACTTTTTGGCATTAATGGCATTAGACATTTGAATATTATTTGTCCTTAGGTATGTGACCTCACTCCCGCCTTTCAGACATTTGAATATTATTTGTCCTTAGGTATGTGAAATCACACCCATCTTTCACTGCCTGAAGGACAAAAGAAAACTATTTGGCATTATTAACCTAAGGCATCTGAATATTCATTAATCTGAGGTAAGTGAACTCACGCCCATCTGCCACTGTCTGGCGTAAATAAATACATTTGTTAACAATTATTGACTCGAGGCAACGGAATATTCAGTAACTTCTGATAGTTCGATACTATTTTAGTACATCAGAAAAAATACATCTTTCAAATCTATATAAAATAAACAATTTCTTGAATAATGTTTCAGTATAATAGCAAATACGTGAGAGGTCTACGAGAACAAAACTACAGCACTTGTGATATTTGTTTCAAGCTCGTATCGTACAAATCCTGTATCTCTCAAGAATATGTCCGCTGCAGTTAACTGCTTTATCAGTAATAAAAGTAACATAACATAGTTACCGGCCATATTATACAATCAAGAAACTTATTGAACGTATTCGTTCGGACCGATTTACCCCTTAAAAGTTTTGCAAAGTAAAACACTATCGAATTATTTTCATAAATTATCTGATGATCGCCTTCTTTCATTAGTACAGTTGTACTTTTTAGTACACTGATAACTAACAATGCCCGGTTAAACGAATTATTTCCATGGGAAATTCAGATAAAAGATATGAGTGTAGTTCTTACCTCTCCATCAAAAATACAATCCCTGCACTGACTTCCGCTTAATATGGACGCCAAACTTCCTGAATTATCTTAAAAATATAAAAATGAACTTAAATAAATGCAAAACACAATGATTTTAAACTTTAACACATATTTACTATGGAGGTGTCGACTTATACAACACATCTGCGGATGTTTCTAAATTCCAAATTGTACCAGTTCATGTTAAATGTCGAATTCTGCTTAAGCCGGTGCTAGGGGGCGTGGACAGTAGTTTGCACTTGACAGTACCGTCCATGAACAGGCTCAATCAAACCGAGCCTGCAACATTTTTAATTTTGCCGTGTCGGGCTTTCTTTAGGGATTCTTATTTTCTCTATTTTATAAGAAACTCCACCGGTGTCCAAAAGCATAAAAACAGTAAATTTGAATTTCTTACATAGAACAGCTGGAACTTTTGAAACAGAAAAAAATATACAAGAGGTAATGAGAATAATTATTCAGAAATAAATTGGAAAATGTGATTATGTGCTATCTCTGGTCTCAAAGCAACATTTTTTTTATTTGGGTCATTGTTTTACAAGTACAATGTTTATTCCGGAAAAACAGCAGATTATCTAAATATTTTAAAGCAGCATGCCTCCAGATTCATGCTAACTTTCATGAAAATTTTAAAAATGTATTTGAATGTGTAATATTGTGAAGTTACCATGAATTTACACATTATCAATGACACGTACAAACCACGTAAATTACCAAAAGGTCAAAAATGCATAAATAGCATTTACTGTGTAAGTAACGCAGTAGGAATATGGTTGTTAATACTGAAAAATCAGTCATGAATCGCACATTATATATAAAATATTACTTGAATCTTGTAACTATTTACTTTTCCTCACATCTTAGTACATTTAACTCAAGTTTGATTTTATTGAAATATTTTGACCTATTTGGAGGCATGTAGCTTTAACACACATGTTTGGTCTAGACCTAAATCAAATTGAACATTAATCTCGAAAAATATATTTTTTAATCCCGTCATATAAAGTCCCTTCAACATTCAACAAAATATACTTGGTATTATACATTGTATATAAAAACAAATGAATTTGGAACGCGTATTGAGTTGCTTACCATTGATTGGTTTCTAAAAAAAACTTAAATTTTAAGAAATACAAAATGCTTACATTGTAACCCTTATCTGATTTAGGTAATGTCTTGATTAAATGGTTTAATTTTGCCTTGTTAACGTATACCGGTTACTAATATAATTGGTAGACTGTCAACCTATATTTAAACATGTCGGAATAATGGAATTAAACTTATATTTTGACATTACCTTGTGATTGATATTCACTTGTCTGTATTCTATACATGTTTTCGTTAGTTTGTCCGGTCTGTGTCCCGGAATGGCTACTTGAATATTTTGTTCCCGTTGTGCTGGAATATGTTCCTCTAGTTCCATATCCAGACGGTCGGATTGCAACAACTGTTCGACCTGTTTGGGCAACTGTGTTAGATCCTGTTGTTACTTGTCGACCTGGAGTGCCTGATCCTGTTCGACATACTCGAACTCCAGTTGAAGCAGGACATTTGTACTGTCCATCACATTGACACAAACATTTATAATTAATACAGTTATCAATAAGGTCAAATGTGTCACCATAGTTATACTTATTGGGACCTATTATACACTGTCGACACGTGCCCTTTTCTGGGTCATACACAGACGAGGTATCGCTGCAAGTTTGTACTGTTAATTCCCTCGGACATTCCCATGAACCATCGCAATTGCACGTGCACGTATATCTGTAACATTCGTCCTCAGCTTGAAATTCTTTATTTGGAGGATATCGTTTTCCATATGCTTCACAAACCTTACATTGTTTATGTTCAAAAGGAGAAAGCGGTCCATCACACTGACTTCCTGTGACTGCGGAACAGTTCCATCCGCCTGAACAGTCGCATGCGCATGTCCACCGAAGGCAGCCATCTTGTAATACAAATTCAGTATTTCCGTCGTACTCCCGTTCGTTTATAAAGCACGACTGACATGATACACCATCACCAAACACAACCGATGATGTTTCCTCCCCTGTATAAATAACAGACTGTTTCGAATCTGTACTGGTAGTTCCTTTAGTATACACATGAGTACCAGCAATGCTATAGCGCTGTTTGGTCACAACATTTGAATCAAAATCAAATCTTCCACCGGGGCATGTGTAGGTCGGTATTTGGTCCGGACATTCCCACATTCCATTACAACCACAAACACATTCTATCTGGAAGCACCCTCTTTGAATCTTGAATCTCGAATTGCCCGGATGTTCAGTTCCAGCAACGTAGCAAGATTCGCAAATTTTTTCTTTCTTTGCTGGTAATATAACATTGGTAATTTGTCTATAACCTCGACATGAATATTCTCCAGTGCACAGACACTCACATAACATATTCATGCCATTTACTTCAGTAGAAAACCTAGAGTTACCCCTGTACCTGACACCAAATATTGTGCAAACATTACATCTTTCTGACCCGCATTCGTTTCCACTGCAAGCCCCGCCTCCTTTACCTTCACATATAAAATTACCGCCACAATCACAGCGACATCGTATACTCTGACCATTTTGAATCAATGAAAAATCTGTATTGCTTGCGTATTTTTGTGAACCGATGACACATTCACGACATTCTCTTTCAGAATCCTGACAAGTGTACGTTCCGTCACAGTCACATGAACAAACGCTGCGTTCCCCGTTAATCATTACCTGAAATCGTGTGTTTCCGTTATAGCGTCGACCATTTATTTCACAAGCATTACAACCCGATCCGACGGAGCTCTCACCGTCAGAAATAATTTGGTATCCACGACACGTGTATGATGAGTCACAATTACACGCACAATGCATAAGCAAACCATATTTACGTATTTGGAACCGTTTGTTTCCTGTATAAATGTCACCATCAATACTGCACTTCCGACAGCCGCTCCCTACACCACAGTCTGCTCCGATACAGTCAATCTGAAGTGACTTTGACCTGCAAGTATACTCGCCATTACACTGACAGGTACATATAAGTCCGGTTGACAGTTCAAACTGCGTGTTGGCGCCAAAGGCCTTACCTTCAGCTGAACATGATTTGCATCCGTACACGTCACAGTCCTCACCAAAACATGTGCCAGATATACTGAAACATCTATACGCGCCATCACATTCACACACACAGTTCATTATAAGGCCATTTTTCTGAAGTCTAAACCTTGCATCAAGCTGGTATTCCTTGTCAAACAGCATGCAATTCCTACACTGGTCGGCTGCGCAACTCTCGCCAACGCAAGAAGTTTCGAAACCTGTTGAACCCTTACAACTGTAAGATCCATCACAATAACAAACACACGAGTAATCAACATTACCTTTTCTTATAGTAAATCTCGTATTGCCAGTATAAGGGACTTGGTCAATAACACATCTTCTACATCCTGTGAAACAATCTGGTCCTTCACATTCTATGATCCGCTTACCTTCACATCGCACTTCTCCCGTGCACGCACACGTGCAGTCCATGTTCACTCCATTTTTAACAGTCTTAAATACACTTCGACCTGCATATTCTCTCCCCTCATAAATACACGAATTACATTGTGGATTACCTTCACAACCTGCGCCAACACAAACTGTTGTAGACTTTTCACCTTTGCATGTGTACCGCCCGTCACAGTCACACATACACCTCAGTCTGACTCCATCATCACCGTCAATGTCAAATTGAGTATTTCCTGCATATGTTCGTCCCCTTATTACACAGTTCAAACATGCATTGTCGGTACAGCCTGGACCGTAGCATTCTTTCTCTGTCCTAGTTCCAGTACAACGATAGCCTCCACTACATGAGCAAGTACATTGCATTCGTAATCCGTCAATCATAGCTTCAAATTGTGTATTCCCTTTATATTTAATGCGGTTTATCACACAATCATTACAACCATCGTCATTACATCCGGACCCAACACAAGATTCAATCTCCTTCGTGCCTTTGCATGTGTACGACCCTCCGCATTGACATTCGCATGTCATCGTTATTCCGTAAGCTTGGTGGAAAATTTCAAATCTTGTATTACCATCATAACGTTTCCCTTCAATTTCACAACCTTCGCAGCTACTTTTACATCCGAAACTATTACAGGTATATGTTCCGCCTCGGCAAACCCAACTGCCTGCACAGTCGCATGAACACTTCATACGAATTCCTTGAAGTATGTCCTCAAATTCTGAATCTCCATCACGACGCCGTCCGTTTACTGTACATGACTGGCATGAAGATTTGCAACCATAAGCGGAAGTACAAGTTTGTCGGCTGCTGCTACATGTGAAACTTCCCGAACAATCGCAACTACATTGCATACGGTCTCCAAACACATTTGCAACAAAGCCTCTTTCATTTTGAAATCTTTGGCCATCAATCAAACATTGTTTACAATTATCAACACAACCGGAACTTGTGCACGTGCGAGTCTCACTACGGCAACTGAAACTTCCGGTACAGTCACAACTACAGTCCATTCGTAAACCAAAAACATTGGCCTTGAAATTGGTATTTCCCTTGAAAGTCTGTCCATCAATGTTACACCGTCTGCAATTATCTACACAACCGGAACTTGTACATGTTCGAGTCTCACTACGGCAACTGAAACTTCCCGTACAGTCACAACTACAGTCCATTCGTAAACCAAAAACATTGGCCTTGAAATTGGTATTTCCCTTGAAAGTCTGTCCATCAATGTTACACTGTCTACAATTATCTACGCAACCGGAACTTGTACATGTTCGAGTGTCACTACGGCAGGTGAAACTTCCGGTACAGTCACAATTACAATCCATTCGAAGGCCAAAAACGTCAGCCTGAAAATTTGTATTTCCTTCAAAACTACGTCCATCGATGTTACAGCGTCTACAATTATCTACGCATCCAGAACTTGTGCAAGTTCGGTAATCACTGCGACATGTAAAACTTCCGGTACAGTCACAATTGCATTCCATTCTTAAACCAAACACATTTGCATTAAAGTTTGTATTTCCTTGGAAGCTTTGCCCGTCAATGTTGCACCGTCTGCAGTTATCTACGCAACCGGAACTTGTACAAGTCCGATAATCACTGCGACATGTAAAACTTCCGGTACAGTCACAGTCACATTTCATTCTTAAGCCGAAAACATCTGCATCAAAGTTTGTATTTCCTTTGAAGCTTTGACCGTCAATGTTACACCGTCTACAATTATCAACGCAGCCTGAAACGGTGCAAGTCCGCCCGTTTCCACGACAGGTGAATCCTCCACGACAATCACAGCTACACTGCATTCTTGATCCAAAAACATCTGCTTGAAAATCGGTATTTCCGTCGTAAGTCTTTCCGTCTATCACACAATCAGTGCAAACATCAACACAACCAGACGAGGATGAACAAGTTTTGTAATCGCTTTTGCATACAAAACTCCCACTACAATCACAAGTACACTGCATACGTGATCCCTCGAGTACAGTTTCAAATTGAGTTCTTCCGTCATATCTCTGTCCACCGATTACGCATTCTTTACAGGAAGGTCTTCTTTCGAGATAGCAGTTTGATGTACCGTTGCAATAGCAGTCGCAAATATAGGAGACAGAATCTCTGTAAACCCTTTGTCTCGAGTGACCTTTGTATGTTACACCGTCAATATTGCAAGAAAGACAAGTTGGTTGAACAACTGTTGTGCAGTCTGTGGTTCCATCACATTTGCATGTGCAACGTTTTCTTTCACTCCCACGTTGTATTTCAAACTCGTCATTTTGCTGGTATTCTCGTCCGTCATGTAAGCATGTCCGGCATCCTTCCAAGTTGCAGGCATCACCTGAGCAAATAATTACAATCCTTCTATCAACACCTTGACAACGATAACTACCGTCACAGGAACATAAACAATTCATTCGAATATTGTCGTAGTATTTTTCGAATTCTTCGTACGCCTGGCGCTGTATACCGTCAGACATACACGTGTTACATCCAACCCATGTACAAGATCCACGCCTGTTGCACGATATTTCTGTATTATCATCTTTGCACCTACAATAATAACTTCCATCGCAACCACATGTACAGCGCATATCTTTACCATTGTATAAGTAATCAAACTCAGAATTTCCAGCAAGTTCACGTCCGTCAATTCGGCATGTACCACAAGTCTTGTCCACACAATCTCGACCAGGCGCACATTCAATAATGATTTCACCCTTTGTTCCTAGACATTTGTATCCTGAATCACAATTGCACTGACATTTCATGAAATATCCCTGATATACAAACTCTGTGGTTGCTCCTCCCGGGTAATCAATACCAAATATATTACATGAGCGACATCCACCAATCTGCTTACAACCACCACGCCTAAAGCATGAATATTCTATATCAATAGATATCCCTCTACAGTAATAACTGCCATCACATCCACAAATGCAATTTAATCGTACACCTTCGTAGTCAATCTGGAAGGTTTGTCCACCCATGTATCTCGTGTTGTTCACACGACATTTCTTACACTTTGGTGTCACACATGACTGGCCAGCAGGACAGATAAGATTATCTTCTGGTGATTTGCCGATGCATCTGTATGACGTATCACAATCACATGTACAATCTAGCTTTACACCCTTATATACAATATCAAAGGATGTATCTCCTTCATATTTATTCCCAAATATATTACAACTTTTGCATCCAATCTGTGAGCAAGTGTCCCCGATGCAAGAGACGAAAATCACAATTTCAGTTCCTTCACAATATGATGTGCCATCACATCCACACCTACACTGCATATCGATGTTCCTATATTTATGTGGAAACGTAGAATATGCATCGTATTGTCTGCCATTTACAACACACTTTCTACATGGATCCGTAAGACAATTTCTTCCGGGCAGGCATTCAATAACCCTTTCTCCTGTAGAACCTATACAAAAATAACTAGAATCACATGCACAGTTACAATCCAATTTAACACCTTGATAAATGATATCAAAAGAAGACAATGGTTTGTAATCCTTTTCAAATATCCGACAGCTTCTACATCCCAGCGGAGTGCACTGTCCAGAAACGCAACGTAATTCAATTACCTCTGTTACTCCCTGACAAAAAACGCTTCCATCACAACCACACGTGCAAGAAACGTCGATACCGTTGTAAACATGTTTAAAAACAGAATTACCTCTGTGTTGTCTCCCGTCAAGTAAACAACTTTGACATGTTCCAATTAAACAGTCTTGCCGTGTGGTGTCTCTACAATCCAGATTTATTTCACCTTCACAAAAGTACCCACCAGAGCAGTCACATCGGCAGTCCAGATTGTATCCAGAATAAATAGTGTTAAAAGACGATAACGCTCTATACTCTTTCCCAAATACTCGACATGTTGTACATCCTGACGGTGTACAGATGCCGCCAATGCAGGTAATTATAATCTTAGAACCTATACCAGTACAATATACGGATCCATCACAGCCACACATGCAATTGAGATCAAAACCATCATATTGCACACGACCTGTGGATCTTGGCAAGAGAGTCTGTCCACCCATTTGGCAAGGTAGACAAGTTCTATCCAAACAATTTCCACGTCCGTCTCTGCACTGTATTATTTTTGTGTTTTCTTCTCCAATACAAAAGTAACTTCCGTCGCATGCACACTGACAATTCAATAGCATACCAGCATAGACAAGGTCAAATTGAGATACACCGTCATAATTCTGTCCGAATATACTACACTGCCTACACCCGATTGGCTTTGAGCATTTACCACCATAACAGGAAAGATATATTTCTTCTCTGATTCCTTGGCAGTAATAAGACGAATCACACGAACAGGTACATTCCATGTCAATGCCTTGGTATAATATCTGAAATTTTGAATTGCCTTCATATCGACGTCCCTCTACTTCACATTGGCTACATCTGGATATCAGACAACCTGATCCAAAACCATTTATGCATGTTATGATAGTGATTCCGGTAGATCCCTTACAAATGTATCCTCCATCACAATCACACTCACACGTGACGGGCTTTCCTTGATATATCATATCAAACTGTGATCCACCAATATACTCTCTTCCAAATATACTACATTCTTTGCAACCAATCCGCGTGCATTTATTTCCTGTGCATGTTACTTCAATACTTGTTGTTATGCCTACACAGTAACTTGAACCGTCGCATCCGCACGTGCACATAATATCGATACCTTTATAAGATGAACGGAAAGTAGATCTACCAGCGTATTCCCTATTGTTTACTAAACAAGGACTGCATGTTGATGGCAAACAACCGCGTCCACGTCCACCAATACATGTGACTACAGCTGTTGACGATCCACCGTAACAGACATACCCGCTGTCACAAGAGCATTTACAGTTTAATTTAAGGCCAGAATGAATAATATCAAACGTTGAATCACCGTCATATGATAGACCAAATATGTTACATGATGCGCATCCAAGTCGTGTGCATTGTCCATTTATACACGAGATCTGTATTATCTCTGTAACGCCCTCACAAAAGTAGCTTCCATCACAAGCACAAGTGCACAGCATGTCGATACCATTGTAATCATATCTAAATGTAGACTTTCCATTATAGCGTCTATTGTTTACAACGCATGAACGACAGCTTCCGGTCAAACATCCGTTTCCGTCAATACATTGGACGATTATTTCCCTGTTGCTGCCATAGCACTGATAATTTCCTCCGCATTCGCACTGGCAACCTAGTTTTAATCCTTTATAGTGGAGGTCGAATGCGGATCCTCCATTTATTCTATCGCCAAATACTTCACATGAACTGCAACCTAATTCTACACATTTTCCTCCCACACATGATATGATAAGTCCGCCAGAACCTTCGCAATAGTAAGACCCATCACAGCCACAATCGCATCGCAGATTTTGTTCCCTATATAAAGTGCCAAACTGATCGAGCCCATTGAACCGCACGCCGTCTACTATACACTGTCCGCAGTTTCTTGGCAGACATCCTGATCCCCCTGTACAAGAAATGATAACCTGACGCTCAGCTCCGTAGCATATATAACTGCCGTCACATTCACACTCACAGGAAAGTTTAAGGCCATTGTATACCAAAGGAAAACTTGAGTCTCCAGGAAAAGACTTACCGTATGCAGAACATTGGCGACATCCTTTGTACTCAAAACTTGTTTTTCCTATACAATAGTACCCACCATTACAAAAACAGTCACAATCTAAAGTAAATCCGTTACGTGCGATTGAGAATTTACTATCCCCCTTATAAGAACGCCCATCAATTAGACATCTGGAACAGCGTTCTAAGCCGCTCCCTATTCCTGAACCGGAAATAGAAACATCCTCTTTTATGTACATCCACTCGGCTACACATACGTAACTTCCATCACAATTACATCGGCAATACATGTCCATTCCACTGAGCTTGAAATTAAAGTGGCTATTGCCACGCACCTGGCGACCTTCAACTTCACATGTCAGACAGGGATCCGGCTCGTTACAGGTGTTAACCACTGTTTCGCTGGGACAAACCACTGTGCCATTACAAAGACAGAAACATTGATAATTCCAACATTTACGGTCCAGTTTAAATTTGGTGTAAGGGTCATAGATGGTTCCGTCAACATTACACTTCCTGCAAGCGTTACAGATGTCCTTTGCAGAGTCACCAAAACATTCCCATTTACCATTGCAATTACATTCACATCGACTGTATTCGTAACAACCTTGAGTATAACTGAATATAGATCCGCCTGGATGTTCTTTCCCGTCTAGGTTGCAAGAACGACAATCACCACAGGTTTCATCTACCTCTCTGCACGTAGTCTCGCCACATCGACATTCACAACCTCTATACCTTGTACAACCGCGATTGGAGGAAGTGTGATCAAAACTTTGGCCTTGTCTGAATTAGAAAACATTGAAATTGGTGCGAAACTGGTGTTTCTCATAAGAAATGTAAAAGGTGGTACAGCAGTTTCGCATTTCTGTATATTCCCGCGGAGATATACTATAAAGGGACATGTTGCTGAAGTATGCTCTTTTAAATTCAAAGTGGGTTACCGCCGTGATATTGAAGATAAACTACCAACAACACCATCTAAACGGTTTTATACAGGCATCCAGCTAACAGATAATTAATCGAAAAGCGTTGTATTTAAATTATATATTTATGATAAAAAATAACTTGATAAATTTTCATAAAATCATGTAAAGACCATTTAGATACTGGAGGACTAGCACGATCTTGCACAGTTATATTTTTCTTATTTACACTGCTTGCTGCGACAAAAGTATACCATTTCACAAGGACAATTAAGACAAAATGACGAGGCGCACCGAGAGGCCCATGTTTTCGTTAGCTTTCTTAACTAGACTCAGAAACAACACAAATGTGTAATACCAACCTATATCTTCTGCCGTCGAAAATGCAGTCAGTACATTCGGGCGTTTGGTCTCCGCGTGAATCACAAGTGTATCTACCACCCCTACATTCATATGATCCGTCACAGTTACACGTACATCGGGTGTACCTCGTACAGTTGACATTTGCTGTTGAAGTACAAGAAAGTTTCAATTAGATATTTTACTTAACCACGGTCATTAAATTAAGTTATTATTATGAATAATAAAATAAGGGTAAATAACGTTGTCATTCATTTGTTTTATTATTTAAGCGTCATTAACACATGTATATAACTCTTTTGTTAAAGAAGCGTGCCTCCACATTCATGTTTATTTGCCATGATTTTAATTGTATTAAAAAGTGAAATATAGTCAAATGGACAAGGAAAGTGATTTACACATTGAAAACGGCACTGAAAATCTACGAAAATTTCCAAATTTAGGTCAAATATGTAAAATAACCCTGCGTTGTTTTTACTTTCCATTTCCTGCAAGTTCATTTTCCTGAAATATTTTGGCTCATCTAGAGTGGAGGCATGCAGCATTAAAAATATATCAGCGCGTTCATGTTTATTAATGTTCAAACATGAAAAACATGCAACACATTACGGAAAATCAAAGTACTTAATGTGCAGATGGATGTTTTTGCTAGACAAAAGATTCCTGTACGTTAAAAACAACCATAACAAGTGAAACTATACCAATATAACAGTGTTTTTGATAGAATGCCAAAATATTGTTGTTTCTATCTGACTAATTTCAATGGCACCGAACTTTAATTAGTGCGCATCGTTCTTTAAAGATTTTTTGAGGCAAGAAAAAACTACGACATATAATTTAATAAAATATGTTTATGGCCTTTAGAAACTGATGACAATAACGTGAACATTCATCAACCTTGTAAATTGTTGCTGATTTCGTTGAACGCTGTTAAATATATTTGTATTGGAATCGATGTCTAAAAGGGAAGTATCTTTATTATAATTTTAAACTGATTATAAAACGTAGCAAAATTACCTGTAAAGGTCGTGTCTCCCTCGTAGTAATCGTCCCCAATCTTACACTTGCGGCATTGGCCGCATAGATCTTCAACATCTTTTCCCGCGCAATCCCATCTACCATCTTCATGACACATGCAGTCCTTATATTTATCACAGCCTCGTGTTAGTTCAAACACAGCGCCATCTGCGTACCTTAGACCGTCTACTTCACATCCTGATTATTGATATTAAACTTGTTAGGATGAATTATTTTTTGTTCATAATTTTGAATTTCTATTTTTAACATCATCATTATCATTGCTTTTATAATTAGTATTATTATTATCATCCATATAATACACGCCAATATCATTGGCACCATCATCATTCATCATCATTAATATTCTTCTTCTTCTCCTTCTTCTAATTCTTATTATTACTATTATTTTTATAATTATATTGCGTGTGAGAAAGTACGATGATGCGACTACTACATAACAATATCTATGATGTCAAGCTGTTTAACTCCCTAAATATTATTCTTTGATATTCCATGACATGATCAGCTCTTCTTATTCTTATTAGCAAATCGAGCAACATTTTCACCGGTTTAAGATTATTGGTATTTTATCATGTCATTTCTTTGATTTCTGCTAACTAAGTGCATGTCTGATAAATTTAACTTAATCAGTCACCCTATTCTTTATTAGATACATTATCAATACATATTGAAATAGAATGAACAGAATGGAATATGTTTACCTCTTACAAGCTTGAAAATATTAAACTAATAAACTTTAAATCCGATAGTCAATAAACATTAAAGTCTCTCTTATAATATACGGGATTGTTTCTTATCGATGTGACCCTTAGCATAGTATTGCACGCGGCGTGAAATCGAGAGGTTCTTGACAGGTTCTTGACATGCTTTGTTTCATTTGAAGTTTAAAGAATGAAAGGCATATTGAATTGAAACATGATAAATAGAATATCAAACAAGTGTCTGATGACATAAAACTTCGCCTAAAAGTCTTGCCTGATAATTTTCTGATATCAGACACTATCATGGTATTCTCTATGTATCGCAATTCCGCGAAGGGATAACAAGATTATCATTGTCACATATTCGTTTCTTCATTATTTATGGTTCGTAATACTAGTAAACTGTAACTTGTAACGTGCATGGATAATGTATATATGGATACCTACCTGCTTTTAAATCACATGTGTAAACTCCGTCCTCACATTGCCATCCCCCGTCGCAATTACACCTGAATAGAAAAAAAAATCAAATGATTTCTTTGCATATCAGACAGGTTTATCTAATGTATACACCAGTGCTAGGAAAACCTTCCTTTCACACACGTGACAAGTCTCGTGCTGTAAATAACTTCATTCCCGCGCGCTATTTAGGAATGAAAATGCGTTCTTAGAATGACGTTTTGTCGTTTTAAATTGTAAATTCATAAGCCACTATAAGAAATAAATGCTAAAGGAAAATAACAGTTTTCGAAATATGATTACACATGTTATACATGTATGCAAGAAAAAGAACACCGACTGTCTTAACAGACCAGAATATCTCGCTCTTGGGTAACTGTTTAGCGGAAATTCGGCAGGGCCTCGACACCGCCGTAAACAGTTACCCTCGAGCTAGATATTCCGGTCTGTACCAGCAGGTTCAATCCATCAAAACACAAATAAATTAAAATGGTGTATGATTTATCCTTAAATTTACCATGTATTGATATGTGCTAAGATTTAATGTTGTTGCTAGAGCGGGTATTTTAAGGACATCGAATACATTACCATCATCTAATAGCTTGATTTAAGTTTCAGTTGTCTGATGCCACAAATGACTTACTATAATATACATGTATAATGAATTAATTTAAGTTAAATTGCAGTTCCCTATGGGAAAACCACCCACAAAACTATTTTTAGAATAAATATAAAAAGTTGCATGTACTTTCGATGTAATGTTTAAAGATCCTGTATCATTGTTACTGTATGTATACCAAACTTGCAAAAAATTATATATGTAAAATGTGTACTGCAAATATTTGTGCACATTATATTTAATCGATAAATTACATGCATTCATTTCTTATGGAAAATTTGACTTAGAATTTATAGAAAATAATAATTACCTCCCTTTATTTACATGAAATCTTAAATTGGGTAATATCTTTATAAATAATGCTTATTGGAACTTACAATATTGACAAATGTTAATTTGAGCATCATATTTATGAAATAAAACCATGAAAAAATTGTGTTACAGGATCTTTAGTGATTTGCATAAATTATGTTGTTTTTCTTTTATTTTTTTTTTATTTTATTATAATTATAAATGTGTTCGATTTATTATAGCAGTTTACGCAGGCTACATATTAAGTTAATATGCAGCAATAAATTGTAATAATTTACAGGCCAACAGTAGGACTAGTCCCAATATTTTATAATTTATAAAACAACTCATATTGTAAATAATGTGACACGATTGAAATCCGTAATTGCAAAGAAACGCATACAGCTAATACTGATAATACTGATACTAAAAGCAAACAATTTATTTTTTTTTTTATCTTTTTATTTTATATTATTTATTTATTTATATTATGTTTTTATTTATTTATTTATTTATTTATCTATTTATTTATTTATTCATTCATTCATTTTTTATTTATTTATTCATTCATTTATTTTTATTTATTTATTTATTTAATAAATAATTTATTTATTTAATTTATTTATTTATATATTTATTTATTTTTTAATAAATAATTTATTTATTTATTTATTTATCTATTTATTTATTTATTTATTTATTTGCAAATATGTTTTCCAATATAACAGTGCAACAAAGGAAATTGTGAAAGACGATGTAAGTTGTAACCTGTGTATATTGTCCGCCTGTATAGCGATAACCTCTCAAAACAACAATATCAATGCTTGCCAAAATCCTTTTATTATAACCTCTCATTAACAGAACCTTTCAGCCACAACCAAAATATCTTTAGATCCCAAAGGACGTTACTCTGTAATGTTTGTGCTGTAATCCACATTATATGGGGCAAATTGCTAAATTTTACTCACCTAAATGCAGCAAAATTCATCACATATCTCAAAAAATGAAACACACAAAGTAATGAACGTAACGATTACTGCAAAACCATAATTTCTGATCAATAACGATGACATACCTGCAGTTTTCAAACAGATCACATCCTCGACGGATCGTGAAATTCGTGTTGGGTTTCTTGAAACTGCCGTCATAGTCTGTGAGATCACATCTAATACATTCCTTCCGACCTTCACATATGTACTGCGACCTCTCCGACGGACAATTGAAGCTTCCGCTACATTCACAGAAACAATTATACTGGAAGCAGCCTTTCTCGAACGTGAATGCCTTGTTTCCTGGAATACAAGTACAACATATCTGTCTCATTTTGGTTCTAAATTGGCTTTGTGGTGATTTTCTATCTTTAGACTTATTATGTTATAAAATGGCGGCTATATTTTGCTTTTTATACGACCGAAAAAAACTTCGGCGTATTTCTATATATACCTGGTCGTCCGTCCGGCCGGCCGGCCATTTGTTGGCAAAGTCGTGGAATAGCCATTTTGTATAAATTTCAAAATTCCATGTCCGATCTGTCTCATTTAAACCGATGAAAGAAATTAGAATATTTTGGCTAAAATTATACTTATTATAAGACGATATGCAGACCAAAGGTTTGGGCTACCCGAGATCACTTGATATATAGACTTGTATAAGAAAATACGTTTAAGTTTGTGTTAAAATATGATGTCTGGAGCTAAAATACGTTAAAAGCATGCGTAATATTAGCATTTACAAAATGAAATGAACCATGCCCACTGATTCAATGTTGACCCTGCTCACTTTTTATATTCATTGTAGATTTATATAGAAAAAGTGCATCTGAGACTGTTTTAAACTACATTGTCGAGAGCTTAGATATTTGGCATATAACATCGCTTTGTGGACAACAAAGTGACTGGTATTAATCATGGCCCTTGAGACAATATTTCTCGCGCCCCTATGGTCACTTAGTTGACATAGTCTTGTATGTGAAAAACACATTTTAGTTTTATTTTATGAGACTACAATGCCTATAGATTATATATTTGCCATGTAGCATTGTCTTATTGATCACTATAAAAGTGATATACATCCTGCCCCTCCCCCTGGGTCAATATTGGCCGAATTCCGGGGTCAAATGCTTTATATAGATTTCTATAGGAAAACGCATTTGGGTGTTATCGTGTGAAACAACAATTCCAAGAACCTAGATATTTGGAATATTGTATTTTCTTATGTGCCTCCACGAATCTATATTAATTTTCTAATCATGCCCCTTCCGTCACGGCCCAGGAGTCGCTTAATTTATATAGACGAATATGAGGAATAATATTTAAGATATTTAGCATATGCATAACCTTTTGGATTTTTTCAAAACTGATATTAATCATTCCACGGTGGTCAATTGATTTACTTAATTACTTGATTTATTTACTAACTTTTCTATGCATGCAAGTATGTATAATATTATGTCTACTTCTTTTAAAGTAATTCTGGTTTATGTTTGCGTTAAGTAATATTAAGGAAACAAACCTTCATATGTCACACCAAGATACTCGCACTGTCTACAAACATTCACGCCAAGATCTTGATCCACGTTTGTACCCACAAGTGTTCCCCTACTGATAGCTTTTACCCGGGAACCTGATGAAGTTGCCGTAAGACCGCCACCTGATACGCCGCCACCGGATACTCCTCCGCTACTCGAGGAAGAACTACTTGATGACGACCCTCGAGATGATCCCGAACCGGTCCTCTTGCAGATGTTAGTTGTGTACTGGGAAGGACAGTCGTACGATCCGTCACACTTACAGTAACATTGAAACCTATTGCAGTCACTGTCCAACGTGAACTGGTCCCCAGCATCATACACCTCTGTGTTAGAGATGTAACACTTTGAGCACCCTGTATCAACGCTAACTTGCCTCGGAGACCGTGTATGTGCATGGTCGGTCCTTTCACCTGTTTGAATGCTAGCAAAGTAACCGCTGTTGCCATTTTCACAAGTTCTCCGTGCATTTCCGGACGGACAGTGAAGTCTTCCGTTACAATCGCAGTTACAGATATATTTCACGCATTCCCTATCGAGAGAAAACATGGAGTTACCACGATATTCTGTTCCATCTACGATACATGTGTTACAACTAGTGCGTTCATTCCCTCGATCATCACAGACGTACTGTCCTATGGTGTGTGCGCATGTCCATCCGCCGTCGCACGCGCATGTACATCCGGGATACTTGTAACAGTTCTGCACCAAATCAAATTGAGAATTCCCTTGATATAAATAGTTATCGATTTCACAGTAATAACAACCTGAAGTGGAATTTTGTCTGCATAAGTCACGTGCTCTTTCACCAGGGCAATTCCAACTCCCGTCACAATTACAAGCACAGTTGTATTCAATACATCCGTTTGTGTATTTAAAGTACGTGTTGCCCTCGTAACGGTCACCGTTAACTTCACAATAGTAACATCCGGTCTTTGGGTTCGTGCGACACTTATCCTTAGCAAGTTCTCCAGGACAGTTCCAGCTTCCATCACAGCTGCACGTGCATTCGTATTCGATGCATCCATTCACGTGCTTGAAGCGCGTGCCACCTTTATGCCTTCCGTCCCCAACAGAACAATAGTAGCATCCTAAAAATAAATTTATCGTTTTAAAACTTAAAAATATATGTTCATCTATTTTAAAGAAAATGAAAAAATCTACGGAATCAGTGCAAGGCCACAACAAATGTCGCATATATTCTATTGCTCGTGGTAAGGCAAGAAACAATATTCGTATTCTTTTTCAACATCTGTTGACCCAAAGGAGCGACACATGACAATTAAAATGGAACTAACAGGATTCCGTATTATAGCATTGTTTACTAGTGTTTACGAGTGTAGTCTGAAACGATGTTGCGTTGCTCACATCATACGTTGTGTTCTAGAGGAAATATATAATAATAGGACACCCTAAGAGTATCTTAATATATACCTTGGATTTGCCGCTCGTGGATTTTACTTACCCTGCGATTTTGGCGCCTCATCAGAATTATTTATTTTAGTCAAATACAATTTACGCACCATTATACTCATATGGGGCGTCCGTGGCCGAGTCGATTTGGTAGTTGACTTCAATTTACTTGCTCCTCACCGCTGAGGGTTCGAATCCTGACAGGTGCTTGGATTCTTTCATGTAATGAAGCTATCCAGCTGGCTTACGAAACGTAGGTGGTTCTACTCAGGTGCTCATTCGTACCTGAAATTTTGCACGGAAGGGCACCTGAGTTCTTCATCCACCAGTCAAGCTGGAGCGTTGCCATTTAACCTATAATGTGTCGGTGTGACGTAAAACCCAATAAATAAAACAAACTAACAAAAAGATACTCATGTAGGAACCCTATACTCTTATCTTATAAATCATACATTATCATATAAGGAAAATAAACAGTGTAGGTCAAACATTGACATACCTGTATCTGGATCAGTGTTACAAACATCTATGGTTTTATTCTTTGGACAATCCCAACTTCCGTCACATGCGCAGAAGCAACTATATTTATAACAGTCTTCTGTAAACGTGAAGGGACGGTTAGTATCGCGTTCCTGGAAAAGAAACAACAAATAATTTAACTTATGGCGCCTTGTCAAAATGTACCAGAGTCATGAATCTTAAAAGTTAAAATAATGTGTGCCTTGTAATCCATATATATTGATACAGTTTTTTTCCTATTTAAGGACCTCTTGCCAATAGAAAATTCCTTTAAAAGCATGCAGTTGTCGCAGAAACTCTTAACTAATAACAGCTTTTCTACTTCCCTAATTAGCAGTTTTCTCTAAACTCAAAAGGCTTAGAACCTTCCCAATGAAGTGATTGTTACTATGTTCGTATATCGATAACTTTGTCTTGCATTTCGGAGCTTGTGAATATTTCTGTAAATTTCAGAAAGTGTTCAATAGTTTACTATGGAAGGACCATGCAAAGACAATCGGATTACCTCGACCATTATTCATAGTATTCCGGAGAAGGTTGAAAATATCCGATCTATGTAAATGTTATCTAAACCAAAACCAATGCATGTATTTGATTATTCATTATTGTAATGCGATGCACTAAATTTAGTCAACATTACGAAATTATTGACATATCTGGGTAAAATGTAAAATATGCAAAGAAAGGTAAAACTTTTAATTACCGCATTGCCAGCCCAGCAGGTTCGGCACTCTGTGTCCGTCCTACAGATATCTTTAATCATTTCTGAAGGACAAGACCATGAACCGTTACATTCGCACTGACAGTTATACTCCCGGCATCCGTCTCTGTGTTTGAAGCTGGAATTTGGAGGTCGTGAACTTCCGTAGGCGTCACATGACCGACAAGTACTGCTTGACATTTCTGGGAAACAGATAGTATAATTTTAATTTAATTAAGTGGCTTAAATAGGTATGTAATAATAGACGAGAGTGGTTCTAATAAGAAGTATTCTAGACTGGTTCAAGTAATGAGGACCGTAGACTGGTTCAAGTAAAGAGGGCTAAAGAGTGGTTCAAGTAAAGAAAGCTCTAGAGTGGTTCAAGTAAAGAGGGCGATAAAGTGGTTTAAGTAAAGAGGGCTCTAGAGTGGTTCAAGTAAAGAGGGCTCTAGAGTGGTTCAAGAGTGGTTCAAGTAAAGAGGGCTCTAGAGTGGTTCAAATAAAGAGGGCTCAAGAGTGGTTCAAGTATAGAAGGCTCTAGAGACTGAGTGATTCAAGTAAAGAGGGCTCTAAAGTGGTTCAAGTAAAGAGTGGTTCAAGTAAAGAGGGCTCTAGAGTGGTTCAAGTAAAGAGGGCTCTAGAGTGGTTCAAGTAAAGGTGGCTCAAAAGTGATTCAAAGTAAAGAGGGCTCTAGAGTGGTTCAAGTAAAGAGGGCAATAGACTGGTTCAAGAAAAGAGGGCTATAGACTGGTTCAAGTAAGGAAGGCTCTAGAGTGGTTCAAGTAAAGAGGGCTATAGAGTGTTTAAAGTAAAGAGGGCAATAGACTGGTTCAAGTAAAGAGGGCTGTAGAGAAGTTCAAGTAAAGAGAACTCTAGAATGGTTCAAGTAAAGAGAACTCTAGAATGGTTTAAGTATAGAGGGCTCAACTGAGTGATTCAAGTAAAGAGGGCTCTAAAGTGGTTCAAGTAAAGAGTGGTTCAAGTAAAGAGAGCTCTAGAGTGGTTCAAGTAAAGAAAATTCTAGAGTGGTTCAAGTAAAGAGGGCGACTCTGAAGCGGTCATAATAGTCGAATAGTCGAACATAAAATGAATAAGAAATAGAGAAAATGGTATATACTCAGTACAAAGAAAAACAATAAAATAATGCTGACATTGATTATATAAAATGCAAGCATTGCAAAATAAAAAAAAACTTTCCTTCAGACTGCATTTTGTTATTAAATTCTTTATTGATTTGATCATACGGAACAATTAGCCCTTTGTAACCCATGATAATTATGTAATCACTAATTATGTAGTTTGAGAAATGTAGACCAATTGCAACTCCTTGTTAATTAAATCTTAATTTTTATCAATTAAGTATAAATAACTAAGATAACTATGTAATTAATAAGATATTAAACGCATATTATTTGATTATGAAATTATATAGTCGCGACGTTATCAGTTATTTTGTATAGTGTATCATTTCCCTACTTTAGCTGATTCGACAAATTAGACCCTGATATACATATATATAGCATTATCTCATGAGGCATAAAAAATAAACGTATATTAAGGTCATTCCCCATTAATGTACTGGAGTCTGGATTATTAAAGGCCCATTATGCCTCAGAAATGCTTTCATTTTATTTTCGTATTTCTCAAAAACTTGTCAAAACTATAGCGGACGCATGACCCGTTTATCCAGTTGTTTATTTTACTTTTTTATTTCGTTTTACTTAATTTACCCGAACTATGCAGGCGAGCATATATTTAACAAATAAATTAACATTATTTGGGGTTCACGAAATATTTATTATTATAGTTGTTTAAATTTAGAGAACATTGCTAGGGTGTCCGTTACAAAGCAATATTAAGCAATTTCCAAGCTTTCTACTCAATCCGTAAATTTTATTTTATGTACCTTGTTATGTAAATGTGTAGATAATAAATAAATATTGTTTAAACTTATTTAAGCAATATTACCAATGGTTGAATGGGAAGAAAGGTAACTCTGCAATTTGGAAATCCTAGCATTATGCTTAGGAGTTGCCTCCCTTCCATTATTTTACCTTTAAGCATAAAATGGCCGTACAAAACAAATTTATCGTGTACACTTTATGAAACTGAACTTTTTTATATTTTGTTATGTATGGATTAAACATTAAAGGTTATTGCATATAAAATTTAAAAAATACAGGAAGATGAAAAGAAAATAGAAATTCAAAGACATTAAGTAACTTAATGCTCTTAATCCCCATCTTCAATAACGTTTACTTGATATTTCCGCTGTCTACAAATCTTTTATCGTTAGATGGTAAGTTACAAACAACACATTGTACATATCATCTTTTTATTCACTTATGTACTTTAAACTGAGAGTTTCCGTTTCATAATTAAAATAACAAATCTTGACTGAGCCGGTTCCTGTTTGCTTACTTAATACACACGTATATAAAGAAAACACTTGTTGAAAATTTCTAAATATCTTAAACTGAGTGGGTAAAGTCCTTGACAGATGGTAGTACAACTTAGATGTACCAGCAAATCTTAAAGGCACATAATGCCTCAGAATTCTTTTTTACATTTTTTAGAAAAGGGCAAACATAATTTTTATTATGTTTAATTAATGGTTTTAGAAAATGTTAGATGCTTGTAACCTGCAGAAAGTAGCGATAAATGTGAAAATAATTTGTCGTAAAATTAGCAAAATGTTAACAAAGTAGTATTTTGACTTCCATACCAAATATTAATTCACTATTACTATATAAAAGCAAAAAAAACAACAACATATGAAATCTAGTTCAGTTAAGTGGCCAATGAGTAATTGTTTGGATATTATAAAAGTACACCATTTTTTTAATGGGGCTTTTAAGAAATAAAAGCATTTCTGAAGCATAATGGGCATCTAATATTTAAAAGGCTACTATTTCTTGAATAGTTATACTATTTATTTATTACCCGCTTTATCTAAGATATTAAGAAATTGTTTTCGATATACATGTTCCATTGTAGATGTGGCTGCGTCTTATTAAGATAGACAATCTGTATAGACAATATTTCCAGCACGGTTCTAGTTATATGTAACCGATGAGTTGGTATGATAAAGATATATCTAATAATTATCATTGACAACAACTGAATTTATCTCTCCAGGATCTTGTTGATCAAGTCAGAAAGTTCAATCCTAGGGGTCATTGTATTGTTCCGTGATTACACAAGCTTTTCCGCGCAAAAAGATATAGAACATGGAAATTGCGGATTACCTATAGAAAATAACGCCGAGAGTGATTGTTTTTTGTTGTTGTTTTTTTAATTTATTTGGGCAATTGCATTCTAGGTTACTTTAAAGGCACTTTAAGCATCGGGTGTGTTTTTTTCCTTTCAATAGAAAGAACAACAAAAATGTAGTTACCATAGATTTAGAGTGTGTAAGATGCTTTTTTCCTTGCAGAAAATAATGTGAAACAATTTGTGATAAAGGTAGTTGTGATATTTTGATTTTACATACAAAATACTCACCGAAATATTGACCAATAAGTATTTTTAGAACTGCAACAGGACACCATAAATTTATAGCTTTAGAATAAAAAAACAAATGTATTTGCATTTTTCAAGCATTATGTGCCTTTATTATTCCAATTATTTGTATCATTTTACCGTCTAGTATATTCAATTACAATATACACATGTATTCCCGAATGCTGATTTTTACACAAAGATGTATCTTTTTTCTTTTCTTGTTTTTGATGATATGTTAATTGCCTTGCAAATGATGTTTTAGTGTCTACACAAACATATCCCCAGCTGTTTTATTGTTAGCAACAAATTTGCTTATTTACTTTCTTGCATCAATAACTTTCTTCTACTGTTAACTCTGTTACAGTGGTGAACGACTTGTTTTCGTCCTTAACTTTAGGAAAAGCAAAGTATCTGATTACAACATGTAACAAGAAAAGCATTGATGCAAAGCATCAAAGGGCGTCCAAGCAAGAAATGCAGCAAGTGAAGATGAACTAGTACACATATGATGACAAGATATTCTTATAAACTACCAGAAATGTATACCACTTATGAATGAGCGGACGAAAGACATTGTTCATTATGAACTTTGATTGGCATGCTAGAGATTAGAATATTACTTGTTATTTCTTTATGATCGTGGTTATTAATAGCAACGGATATACATGTATGCAATCATTTATAATCCATATGTGTAACGCATGATCAACACGTACCACACATTTGTCCCTTATTATGTACATGTTATCGCTATTAGCGAAGACCCCCTTAAGGTATCTGTTCACACTTTAAGTTAGTAAAAATATGACACTTAGTAAAAATATGACCTTGGTTATATTACCATGTTGATCATGTTGAGCATAATTGTTTATTATACAATAATTGTAATATCTATTAATTTTAATTTAAAAAAAATACAAATTTTATGAATATTGTTTTCTTTTATTCTTTTTTGTGTTTTATGTGCTATATTAATACTGAGTTTTTACTACTCTTTTTTATTAAAATTGTAAAATAAATTTTAAGAATTCAATTGTCATATTGACCGACGATTATAAGTAAAAGCTTAACTGGAAAAAGTCAGTAAATTATGGTTTATCTTTCAATATATAATATTGTTTATTCTTAAACCATGTACATGTACATTGTATTTTTCTTTATCATTTTTTAAATTATCGATCAATTGAATAATTCATAAAATCTAATTTGTAACTTTGAATAATTCCTCGGCATCTTTACTAAACACGGATAACAAATTGAATAATTAAAAAAAATGTTTCAAAGTTGATAATGTCATTTTAATACCATAAAAAATGTACCTTTTTCTCAATTATTGTACATATCACGGATTTATATTACATATAAATCCGTGTACATATTTATTGTTTTTATCTCATATAGATAAAATGAAACATGCTATTGTTGTTTTTTTCCAATTGTAACGATATCAAACATCTACTCCAAAATCGGGAGAGACCGGACAATAAACGTGTGGTACTATTCGCCGGTCACTAGTAAATCCTGGTCAAAATAGACCGGGAGAGACCGGCATTTACCGATAGGAGTGATAAAAAGATATATCTATAAATAGGTTTTTGGAATATTTAGGTCATCAACTGATCATTCTAGGATACATGTACAACAATAACATACCATGACATGATAACCGACTGTGTACTACAAAATGATAAATAAAAAA